TTGTTTGGGATTTTTTGTTGTTGTTGTTGTTTTTTAATCTAATTATCCATAAACATTTATTAGTTTTTGTATTCCGGTAAAACTGTCGCTCCCGTTATGTGAGCAGCGCAGTCAGATAAAGATCAGGTTTGGTAGGTTTAGATCATTTTTAAAACTAAATTACAACAGTATTTGTAATAAAAGTTGTGTTTATTTATTTATTTACTTGATATATATATTGAACTTTCTTGCTTTGTGATCGATTGATTTTCCACTCTTAAACATAAGGTTCTGAGTTACCCTAATTGCGCAGATTAAACGAGACATAAATGGTAAGGTTTATGGTTGTTGTTTTATTTGCTCCTTATAGTCACACCATTAGTTGTGATTGTCATAATGCACTGTTCATTGTTGGTCCAGCAAGAAGTGCTAGTGCCACTGTTAAACTGATAAAACCCCATTTGATAGATGGAAACAATCAAGAGTGCAATACAGTCTGTATTCCTGTTGTAATCCTGTAGGTTTCGACCCTAAAGGCCACTCAAGAATGTATGAGCCGTAGCATTCTGGGAGGTTTAAAGTGCTTTGTGAACTATATCATCAGACTCAGCAAGGAGCTAACAGCGCCTACTTACTTGCATGAAGCCTCCACAGTGACGCACAAGCTGTGTGGTCCCCAGGACAGGACTGTTGTAACAGCATGTTAAAGAGACAGCAGTGGGTGGGCAAACATAAAAATGTGGACGAGATAACCTAACACAAGTTATGGAGAGCTGTATGGGGGAGTCTTCATGTTAAACTTGTTGAGAAACAGCCTCAAATGATTTGTTCTGCCTCAGCTCCCCTCTCCCTTTCTGCTGGTAGCAATCTTCGTCCCACATACGTATAAAACCTTAACTGCTCAGCTACAGTTATTTTACACTCCGTTACTAAGATGGCAAAGATGCTGTACTGTAACATGCTTATGATAATGTGCTCAGCAGTTTGATGTCTCACAAGAAAGGAGGCTAACACGGCCAACATCAAAGGCAGTTAATGTTAAAAAAAAAAGTGTAGAGTAATATAAAATACAGTTGGGTAGCTGAAACCATTATAGTCACATACACTAAAAAAAAGTCATAGCACTAAAAAAATTACAAAATGTAATAGTAAAGAAAAAAAGAGAACACCAGAAATAGAGCTTTATAGTAAAAACAGATTCATAACAATGCTAAAGTTCGAATGATCAGAAGTAACATGTTCTGATTGCCCTGTAGCTTGTTTCACTATAGAGAACCACATTTACAGGTAAAAGAGTAAAGCCTGGTTGCCAGATATCTTGCACTGCACTGTAATACGTTGTCTTTATGAATGAGTAAATATTGTTTGAAATATCAATGTGTATTTGTAGCACTAGCTGAAATGTGACTGTCTCACAGTTTTTCTGACAGTATTTCTACTTGGCTATTAGCTAGCCTGTGCAGCAGTCACACTACCACTACCTGACATGATAAAGATAGAGTGAATGGGAGGTGACAAGTTGAGACAACCAGTTGTATTTGTGCTGTAGCTACCCACTGGCGCCAATCAGAAGTGAGTCATGCAGAAACTTTTTATTTTTGTAGGTGGGGTGGTTGTCAGATTTTGTTGAACTGGGGATAGCAGATGTGTTTTGAAGGATGAGAACTGCAGTTCAGGCCATAAATATCATTGGCCTAGACGGGCTAGGTGGACATGTTTCCACTTGAGTAACAAACTGGACTGGTTATATTTGTCTAATGTTAGTATTTGCTCCACTAAGAAATGGAACAAATACCAATGTATATATAAAAAAAATATAAAGGGTTAGACATTCATGAAGTGCCTTGAGCAGCTGGTCAGAAAACACATCTGCTGCTCCCCAACATCCTGGACCCTCTTCAATTTGCCCACAGAAGGAGCAGAGTCATGGACGACACAGTCGCCTTGGCAACACACACTTCCCTCACCCATCTGGAAAACGGGAACACCCTTCCTCCTCGCTCACTGAAAACACAGTGTGCGATTTCTTAGTGTACTCTTGTGCTCCTTTTTCACTTCCAAGAACATCATCATTAAGTTTGCAGGCAATAGGACTGTTGTAGGCCTTATTGCAGACAATGATGAGACAGCCGACAGAGCTAAACAGGCCAACAACCTTTCTCTCACATCAGAAGAACAATGGAGATGATAGTGAACTATCATCCAGAAGAGAACACTGGCTCATCCATATTAGCTATGCTAACATTGAAATGGTAGGCACTTTCAACTTACTCAGTGTGAACATTACTGAGAATCTATCCTGGAACCTTCACATGGACATCACGGACAGAAAGGCCCGTCAGTGCTCATACTTTCTGAGGACACTTAGTTTTACAAGACACTATCTCCTGAATCTTCCACAGAAGCACGATCGACAGCCTGGTGACAGGCTGTATGACAGTTTTGGAATGGAAGTTGCTTGCTAAAAGCTGGAAATCACGACAGAGATTGGGGCAGCCATCAGAGATCGTCACTGCCAAGAGCTATCCCGCCATTAAAAAGATCTGCCTGATGTCTGTGTAAGGCCGACAGAATTATCAAGAATCATAGCCATCCAGAAAAACAGCTGTTCTCCTTGTCCATGCATTGGTGAATTACTGCAGTGCAATATGTAACAGTATAATTTAATCGGTCACTGGTACTGCTGTTTATAACTCTGTTTACCCATGTGCAATAATTCTCCATACTCCTAATCTAATTCTCCCAAGAACCTCAGTATCCATGTTGCATCTGTAAGTCTTCTCCTAGCAAAGGTTGCTGGTTCCTGCTGTATCTTTTACAATAATCTGAACTACAACTCAAGGATGGCGTTTTAGAGCTGCAGCAATGAATAAACCTAATTTATTACACGCAAACAGGTAACTCACATTGATGAATCCAGAGATAATGACTTGATTCTTCAGTTCATGTTTGATTTAAAAAACTTTTTGGCACTTTTAAATTCATTGGGGATTTAAAGCCACGACTTTTAGTTTTAGTTCCCATTCTCTTTAATTTAATTTTAAGATACAGCAGGCAGCAGTCGTCAATTACTCCTTATGTAGATTTCTCATAAAAAATGTAATCACATTCCCTCACTGATGATTCAGCAGCAGAAGTGATTTGTTACATTACATGTTTGACTCAGAACAACTTCATCAAAGGTGCCCTTAAACAACTTCAAAGACTTCACACCCACTTGCCTCATCTTCTGTATTTAACACTTGAAGGAAAAGAAAACAAGGTATTTTGGTTTTAATAAGCAGTCTGTACAGTCTGGAATCAGAATGTTTACTAAACACAAATTCCTTAGTTCCAGTGACTGCACAAAGCAATTAAGAAGTCCCATCCTAAGTGTGAAGACGTGCGTTCACACACCGACCCGCTCAAAACCCACATGACTCCATAAGCTCTTACCAGCAAAGCCTTTATTATGTTACTGACATGGACATGGACAGCTGGAGACACAGCGGCCAAGTAGTCATTCCTGTTATACTTCTTTGAAGTCCACTTGAAGTCCGCCACCTGGGGTGCGTGCGTAGTTGGTGCATTGAAATGTAAATTCTTCGCAGATGAGCGTGTGTGGTCACAAAAATATTGCTAGGCACCTGGATGTCAGCATAGACCCCTGTGCTCAGTGTTTGATGATGAAATTAACGTCACTCGCACCTCAGCGGACTCACATAATCAATGCATAAGAAATGAGAAAACTTAGTAGTTGCCGTTCTTACCTCATTTACATGAACCATAGAGACCACTGAAGTAAACCTTTTACTAATGTAGTGTACAAATTAACGCGGTATCAGTAATCAAACTGTATGTAGCTTATCACATTGTCGATGCAAGATCATAGTCAGTATGATTGTAGGTAATACAGGCAGCCACAAGCCAAATGGAAAAACTAATGAGCATTTAGGAGCTAAAGTGCCTGAGTTTCCCTTAATGATGCAGTACAGACCAAAATAGGACAAAAAGAATTGGGCTTTTAGTGGTCAGAGGGCTGGAAACAGCTGCTGGGAATGATTGCTGTTGGGTTCCTATATGCTTTTTCTTTCTCCAATTCTGGATCATAGGAGGGCCGGATACAAGCTATCATATGGTGAGAGGCTGCTAGTCTAAGCCGAAGATTAAAACCAAAAGAAATTCATGCTCCGATTCATGCCTGCGTTTATTTGGATGTTAGCACCTCCAGAACAACTGCAACATCCACACAGAAGGGTGGTGGATTTGTACCCAAAGAAGAGCTAAGCCACAGCCAAGGAATGGATTAATATGTGCTAAATCAACAATAATTACGAACTCATTACTTTTAAAATTCTAAATATATATGGAAATGAGAGCAGTCACAATAGTTGTAGGTTTTTTAACCCTGCGAAGCCTCGATTTGTGGCTAGTAACTGTATCTATGCAGTATAAGTTACAGCCAAACAAATGAAGGCTCTGTACATTAAAGTCCTTAACCACCGAGCCCAAGTTCATCACATGTTAGGTTTTAAAAGCAACCGGTGAAATAAGTTAAATACTAATGAGACTTCTTATTAAAAAGAAAGGGTAATCATATGGTTATTTCTAGCTCAACTGGGAGCTTGATTCATAATAAAATGGGCAATTTCACCTAAGTCCCCCCTCAGGGTAACTTGTAAACTAAAGAGGGATTTGATGTGAAGGGTATGAGAGCTGTGGTGGTGTGTTATCAGCTGAGTAATTTGCTCTTGTACAAACATGAATTACTGTTATCTAAGTGCCCCCTGACAGCCGATTGGCTCCTCATTAGGCCTGTGTGAAATGAGATTAGCAATGAGACTCTAAATTATGATCCAATCCCAGAACACATAATCTCTCACATGCATATACCCTTTGTGTGTCTCTCCACTTCATCTATTTCTGCCATTGCTTTCTGTATCTTCCCCTGCGGCTGCTCATTCCTCGTCTTAGCAGCTCTCCTCTCTTAACCTCTTACCTCTTCTCTCTTTTTTTTCCTGCACCACCGACCTCACTCTCAGAGTGTAACTGCAGTGGGAGATCACACCAATGTGTGTTTGACATGGAACAGTACCGGAGCACTGGCAGTGGGGGGCGATGTGTGAGCTGCAGAGACAACACCGATGGGCCCCACTGTGAGCGCTGCAGAAATGGCTACTACCGGAAATCTACAGAAGATCCCTGCCTACCCTGCAACTGCAATGTCAACGGTAAACTGCAGACACAAAAATCTCAGTTGTTTTGATAATAACTGAAGCCCTAATTATGATCCATGCCAATGTCATTACTTGCTACTTTTGTTTTCTCCTGCATGAGAAAATGTAATTATGTTTAAATTGGAATGCCACACTGGCACAAAAAAGCACCATATGCAAGCTTTAGCTACAAATGAATGGGACTCATAGGATTAATTTTACAAATTTTATGGCCAATGTTTTTAAAAAATTAATGGCACTGCATTAATATTTTCTACATCCCATCAGCTCACCAAACTTGCCTAGGAGTAGAATCTTTTTCAATTTATAATTCATTCAATCTCATCTTAGTTATCATTGCCTTAGCTTCCACGATGATCATTAAGGAAATCCATGGATTTACTCACCCATGCGGGTGTAAATTGATCCAGTTGACTCACTGAACATTATCAATGAAAAGACTCATTGCTCATTAAGCAAGGCCTAACTTTAGGTGGAGGAGCATTAGTGGTGGTGGAGCACAAATTATGTTTGTGCTTCACCCATCATCAGAGAATGAGAGAGAAAAGTGAACAAAAAACATTAACTATCTTTTCCTCTTCATATAAATAGTGTGCGGTGAAGGCACAGAGCTGTTGGAGTCCATTATATTGATCAAAGGTTATAGCAGACTCCATCAGGCTTCCCTTTTTCTCTTCTTTCTGCCCCAGATGGCCTTTTTTCTCCATTAACTAAAGCTTCACTATACCGGCTACAGTGTAGAAGCAAGGTTATATACTTCTCTTCCAGGAACAGAAATTCAAAACAAATGTTCATTATTTATAGATAGAAAGATAGATAGATATTTATAGAAAATACTCATAATTCTTGTCCAACACTATGATTACATTTTTCTTTATTTGAACCCTTCCAGGATCTGTGAGTCTACAATGTGATGTAGAAGGAAGGTGTGCTTGTCGGGAAGGTGTGACAGGAGAGAAGTGTAACACATGCCAGGCTGGCTTTCACTCGATAGGCCCCGGTGGCTGCAGGTGAGCAACATACATATAGTAATATATACAGCATACATGCATTCATTTTATGTTAGTGAACACAAGGCTCACTGACATTACATTTCATACAGCTTTCCTGTTTTATAGATGTGACACCTAACTTCCCAAAGCCTGAATTTATCAAACTGCAAAGCAGGACAAAAGGATTCAAATTTCTCGACGTGACACTACTGTGAATTAGTGACCTTATCAGCAAGTACCAGGATGTGCCAAACACAATGTCAAACTGCTAACAAGCATTGTAACAAGCAAGCCACCAAGTGCAGTGTTATTTTCCACATGGATAAAATTCATTTCAGTTTTATTAAGCTTTTTATTTCAGGGTGTCACGTATATTCATCATGCACAATATTAGTTACGCCAATGTGATTTTTTTGCTTTATGTATGTTCGGAGTCCACTGAATTACTTCATGGTTATCCCCTTTTATGGAAGTGTGCAGAAGTTGTCTGACTTCTATCAAGAAAACCTCATATTATTTTTGTCTACATTACACAAATGCATCGTTTCCTGTCTAGCTATATTTTAAAGTTTTTGTTTTCAAAGTATCTTTTACTATTTTTGTTCAGTTTCACTCTTCCCATTAGTGCCCTATTCAGCCACCACAAGCAGTTATATCCAGCACAGAAGCTCAGATAAATCCATGGCACACAACCTACTAAATACCAAACTGTGAACAAACCAACATGTTCTAAACCCCAACTCATCACACAGTGACACAAGTCAAAAAATCTTTTTCACGTTTATCAGAAGACAGCAAGCATCAGTGTATTTTGTAAGAAGCTGAGATATATTATGTGGTGCCGGGCCATTTAGTGCCCTGTATGTAAATCCTAAAATCTACTGAAAGCCAGCGTAAAGACTATCTTAGCATGCTTGCTAGAATGTGTTAATAGTCTGGCTGCAGAATTTTGTACTGTATAGCTTGGAAGCACAAAAGACATGGTTTGTCCAAGCTGGTCAACACACATGATAAATGCAATGACACAAATGCTTGAAAAAAAATTTTTTATAGTTCAGTTGAGTAGACCATATGTCGCAAATTAGAAATGTTACTTAAATGAAAGAATCAGGAAAGAAGCAACGATTTTATATGCAAGTCAAAGAATCAAATATTACACCATGATTTCAAATGCTGGACTTGACCAAAGAGAAGTAAGAGCCTGACTGATTTTAGGAAATAGTTCAGGAGGAGCTATAATCATCTATCAGTCTTGTTGATATTTAAAGTAAGTTCATTATCAGAGAGCCAATCACTAACCTGGATTAAACACTGGACTAGAGTGGACAGCCTATTCAGATGATGAGGCTTAAAAGATATATACAGCTGAATGTCATCGGCATAGAAACAATAAGAAACTTCATTAAAATTTAGGTAATAAATTACTTTAATTTTATTTATTTTAGATACCAAATATATTAGCACCAAAACTAAAAAATGCTAAAGGGATGTTTTCACAATATAAAGACAACAAGTCCAAGCATCACTCTGTGGCGAATAAGGAGTTAGACTCAGTTGGACACACAGTTAGTGAGTAGGTGGTGGACACAACTGCATTTAAGAAACAGATTTTCTTTTAGAACTGATGGAGAACAAAGAACTCACTGAAGAAATTTGTAAGATTTTTAGTTAAATGAAACAAAACATTTTTTCATGTTTAGTACACAGTAAATATAACTAGTAGAAACACAAAGTCCTAAGTCATTTCGCTCAGTTTGCTAAGCGACTTAGAATGCCAGATCTACTGTTTCTGCTCACCCTTTCTCAACCTTCTAAGACCCAAACTCTTTCACGACACGCATTTTTAATTTATCTTTGATATTTGGGCTGATTGGGACCTGATGAATGTAAAAACAAAGAATTACCAGATTTTTTTTTAACCTAATTTTTGTAAAATGTAAATGAGAGCCACATATGAGGATATTTGTTTAAAATTTCGATAGAACAGTAGCAGTATAATGTCCTCATAAGTGGATATCAGGCCCTTGAAGAGCAAATTTGAGTATTTTTGTCTAAATAATCCAAAAGGTGATGTCCACATATGTGGACGCAGGTCCTAGGAGGTTAAAATAAGTTTGAATCAATTCCTTATTTTATTTGCTTATAACATGAAAATACATTGCCATAGGTCTATATCAACAGCTGAAATTTTTTTTAACTTCATTTCCTCATACTCAACTTTAAATAATACATTTCCAAAGAAATGTTACCAGTATCATCAACTTTAAAAGGGAAAAGAAAAAGGCTGGTCTAATGTCTTGCCAAGTCATTGCAAACTTTTTGCATGAATTCCCTCCTACCGCATATGGTCGTTGTTCAGATTGGTGAGCCAGCAGTCCTGAATAGCAGAAACGAAAGATCTGGTGTTTGAAGTCCCCTTAGAACCGAGCAAGAGATCATGCAGTCTTCTTCATGTTGCCATGGTGACTGAATCCAGCCTTGCTGCCTTCAAAATCTTCAGAGAACAGCTTGAGCTGCAGCTAAAACCAAGGAGAAACTTAGCCTGTAAAACTTTCTACTTTTCTCCAAAGGTAGTTGAGTGTCTTTATGTAGTTGGTAGCATTGATCTGGTTTTATCCAAATTCATCAATTCATGATTGACTCAAACATTTCCTCTTCTTTTTTTAACTGCCAGCAACTAGTTGACAATGAAGAGTTGTTCATGATAAATAAATAATTTAATAATTACACTTTTACTCTTTATTGATCATGATTTGTTTAGCTTTAATGTGTTAACTGTATGCATTACTAATGCATTAAGTAAAATATTATTATAATGTGTTTTACTAAGCTCTGATTTTAAGTTTCAGTATAGAGCTCATTGGGTCAGACCGAGTTTAAGATACAGACTTGCTTTCAACCTGTTTTACTGGGAGTGGGTTCAGTCAGACTTTTCTTCCAACCTTTATTGGAACGTGAAGATGCACTGACCAGCTGCATACATTTTTATGATGAAAAGCGCATTTCAACTTTGTCTGAACTGAGAGCCTCATACTAAGTATGAGTGCACATGAGCCTGCATGTAAATTTATAGGAAGGTGTATCTATGTGTGTGTGTGCACAACTGTGTGTTTGTGTGTAGGTGCGTCTGTGTGTGTGTGTTGTATGTTGTAAAATTCATATTCATAAGAAGTCTATCCGAGCTCTCCCTGACCCCCTTCTATCTGCCGGGGGAATGCTAAGTTGCGATAGTGTTGAAAGGCATATCAATGAATGTTTGGTGTTAATATTATTTCTTCTACCTGGATACTATGACAACAGGCTGTGGGATGACTGTTAAGCAAAAGAATAGATATTGAGCTTTAGCCTCATTCATTTGACTTTATAGCTTCTACAGTAAGCATTTCTTTATGAAAAATTAAGCTTTGCCTCAAAATGCTAAATTTAAACAGAATAGCTTCCCCAGTTCTACAGAACTTTTTAACACCATTCAGCTATTTGTTTGTTTTGGTTATCTGTAACCGATAAAGCTAATGCAAACAAGAACTGATAAAGCCACTGTAAAGCAAAAGCAGTGCAAATATCAGCTAAATTAGAGGGAAATTTAAAGGAATAGATATTTTCCCCAAGAGCTGGTGGAGACCAAACTAGAGCTTAAAGCAAATGATCCAGATAGCCATTTGTGTAGGTTGTATCTCAGCTAACAAAAAGTCTGTAAATGCAGGTTTAAAAGTAGGCTTGATCAAGAGAATATTAAACCTCCCTTTCTAAAGATTACATACCAAAACGGTACATTAATATCTGCAATTGTTTCCCTTAGATGATATTGACATGCACAAACACAAACACACACACTCACACGAACAAACACACAGCACTTTCTCTCATTCGTGCTGAAAACTCAGGCTATTGAGTTGATGCGTGAATTACCCAGACCACTAGAGCAGAAACAACTAGAGGCTGCTTGCCTTGGGATAATTGAGTTATTGTAATTGCACCTCATTAAAAATAGATCCTGTGTTTCAATCTCAAACAAAAAGTAACCAGTCAATAAATGTGATCAAACAAAATCTGACAAAAATCCAACACGCTGCTGATCCATATACTTACACTTACTTGCTTTTTAATTGAGGTCGTTTTACGCAGCCTTCAAATTTCAGATTTGGGTGTTGATGATTTGCTATGAAGAACATTTTGTACTTTTGAAAATGACTTTGTGGTGATGGCAGCAACACCGTGAAGGCCCAGGTTCAAGTTTTAAGACAAGAACCCGTGTTGTTAATACCTACTTGAGCGTGTCACCCTGTGGTTTTTCAGAGCTGAACATCTGCTGTCTTGAAAGTGAGGAAACAGACATCAGGGATGTCTTCACATCAAATTGTCCTCATCTCAGAGTTTCCTGCCCATTTTCTTTTTCTGCTTCTCTTTTATACATGCGTGCTAAATGCAGTAGATTAAACTATTTTCTATTTTTCTGCAGGCCATGTGAATGTGACCTCAGTGGCAGTGTGGGTGACTGCTCTGCTCTGGATGGACGCTGTTACTGTAAGCAAAATGTGGAGGGACAGAACTGCAACAGGTTGGTTATTGTGCTGTTGTTTGTTTCCCAGATAAAGAACAAACAAGCCAACTGTAAAGGTCTTTTACAATAAAACATCCAAACATTATGTAATATACCTATGTTTGGTCTCTTTTTAGCATCGCTTTTGAAAAAAAATCATTTTCATTATCGCTCCTAAGGGGAAAATAACTTTGCAAATTTCATTCCCAGTCGGCTGGTGCAGCAGAAACAGAGGGCTTAAGAACAATTTGATTCAGACTTGCTTGAACATTTTTAAGCTATCTGTCATTTTAACAACTAAAGCAGTGCAAGCGACCGTTAAACTATGTCAATAGTCTCTGCTTCTCCCTTTCTGCTTCTATCTTGCTCCTGTGGGATAGAGGATCAAACAGATAACCTCACTATGACATTAGCAATACACACAGCCCCAGGTCTCCAACTATTGAATAATTCTGTACTCCCTGTTTGTTGACTTTTTGGCTGATTTCACGGGTGGTTGAGCAAGCTCCTCTCCTGTGTAATGTGACTAGTGTAGTGGCTGATTTTTAGCGGTGTTCCTGTCCCACCCACATGGCAGCAAGTGCCTGCAGGTCAGGGTGCTAGCAGCTGAGCTCCATTCTTCTTCTTAAAACGCCGCAATGTGTGCAGCGACTTGCGCCCAAACTGCTGAACTGAAAAAAAGCTTAAATAGATAGTGAATATAACAGTGCAGCATGGATGTGGTAAGGAGCTGTAATCAGGTGTGACTAAAGCTTCTGCATGTTAATGACTTTTTTTATGCACGGGGATGTGTGTGTGTGCGTTTGTGTACCTGCAGATGCAAGCCAGGATTTTTCAATCTCCAGCAAGTAAACCCAGCAGGCTGCCAACCGTGCTTCTGCTATGGCCACTCGCTGGCCTGCTCCTCGTCCAATCACTATGCTGCTGTCAACATCACTTCTGACTTCGTTGAAGGTATTGTCTTCCCAGCCATTAATGAGGTTTCCCTGTTGCCTTGGGAGCTTTATTACTGAGCCAAAATTAACGAGACCAGCGATGTTTACTTTGTTCTCCCTGACCCTCTGTCCTCACTCCATTTTCAGCATTTGGCTCTGTGCTGAGCTCTCAGGAACAAAGCTGTTTTTTTCTCTTCTTTTATTTTTTAGATAACAAAAAATGAAAGAAAGACAGAAAACATACATAAACATACATTGCAACCTACACAAAGCTGTTTGGACAGATAACCCCTGTAAGAATAAACATACAAACTCTTTGTGAACATGAATATTTAGCAGATGCGATGTCTTTCACCTCCAGATCAAGAAGGCTGGTTGGGAGAGTTTTCTGGAGGGCTGGACTACCCCCTGCTGTGGAAGGAAGGTGAAGTCTACCTGCTGCCTCTTACAGAAGAGGACACTGGCTTCTACAAAGCCCCCGGTGAGTCGGCAAGAAAAATAATAGAGATTTGAATGAATCCACAAGCTCAGATTGTTGTTGTTACCGCAGTCTCAACAGGTGGGCTGCATCCCCCAGGGAGATATTTAAGCTTCGCTGAAATAGATTTTATTCGTTATTAGTGATAAAACAGCCCCAGCTGTTGTTCTTCAAAACAAATATGTAAATGATATTAGTAAAGCATCTGTAATATCCATAGCTTGTTCCTATTGTTCGTTAGTGAGATTAATCAGGATTTTTTTGGCAGTGGGTCACGCGGTGGTTATTCTGTCACCGCTTTTTCCAATCCCTTATCAGAGCCATTAGAAGATAAGGGAATAAGCTGGCCCTGCCACAGGACTTAGGGCCCATTTCTATCAGCCGTGCCAGGAGCAAAGGCCTGATGGAATTGGATGTCTTGGCCATGCTGGAGAAGCAACAAAGTGAAAATTGGCTTGGTTTCTTCCTGTCTCCACTAAGTCGCTTCTAAGCATCAACACCCC